AGGGCTACAGGCTGGCACGAAGAGAAAGACGCTAATGACCCTCAACGCAACCCAGAACGGACGAAGCGATAAGATGGTATTAGACGCCGAAGTCATGGGACATCGCGTTCGCATACTTGTGGACAGTGGCGCGATGGGCAACTATATCTCACCCAGAGTTGTTAATCGTTACCAACTACCGTGGAAACACAAAGAGGCACCATACGAGTTAACTGATATCGAAGGAAAACTTTTTGCCTATAATGACGGAATCATTAACCAAGAGACTGATCATCTCGAAGTACAGATTCAAGGTCATTCAGAAGTGATTCAACTCGATGTCATGGACGTATCGGAACACGACCTAGTGTTAGGGTACCCATGGTTATGGGAGAGTAACCCACTGATCAACTGGAGGACAGGCCAACTGAAGTGGAACGAGACTTCAGGCCAACAGAATCAGCAGAATTCGGAAGAGAGAACGAAATTTCGTCATAACTTAGCTCACGAGCAGAGTTCTGAAGAAAAAGAACCTTCAAGCAAGTTATCTAAGGACCAACGACAACAAACAAGCGGCAGAAAAGTAGTCAAAACAATTGGATCCACCGTAACGACCTCGACGGCGCTACAAACCGGAATACGAACAACAATAAGTAACAAAAAGACAAAAGCCAAGATCCGAAAGGTTATTGCCACCTTAAGGAAAGACCTCGCAAACACAAATAAGAAACTCGAAGAAGAGAAGAAAAACAAGAATGACAACAACGACAAAAGCCCAATAACAAAAGAAGAAAGACTCAAGAATATCCCTAAGGAATACCGGAAATACGAAAAATTATTCGCAGAAGAATTGGAAACCGGATTACCAGAACACAGTCAATGGGATCATCAGATTGAACTAATAAATGGAAAATCGACGACATTCCATAAAATTTACAACTTGAACGCAAAAGAACTCGAAGCGCTACGAGAATACATCGACGAGATGTTAGCAAAAGGCTACATCAGAGCATCCACATCAGAAGCTGGATACCCAGTTATGTTTGTTCCAAAGAAAAACGGGAAATTGCGGTTAGTAGTGGATTATCGGCGATT